CAGCCACTGGTGGGACATGAGCACGACTGCACAACGCTGGCCAGAATCCTTCCTCCCTCTGCCCTGGGGCGTGAGTGACCTTGGTGCTCATGAAAACAGGAGAGGGACAGCCTGGGGGTGAACCCCACCTGCACGTGAGCATGGTCCTCCCAGGACATGTCCAGCAGCCTGCCCTGCCCTGCTCTTTCTGGGGCAAGTTTCAACTATCCGCACATGATCCTCAGCAGCTCAGAGGGCTTCAAGAAAGGTGAGGTGTCATACCAGGCTCATTTCAGTAATAATAATTTTCATGGTCTAATAATTGGTCAATGTTTTGCAAGTCATGTTTCAGACTGTGCTCCACTCTTATCCCCTTGCCAATCACCGTGAACCTGAAGGTGCTTATGCAGGATGCACCACTAGAAGAAAACAAGCCCACCGTTTTCCCTGGGGACAGTCCAACCCCAAGATCCCCCTCATCAGCTGGTGCAGCCACACACCATTGACAGCTTCACACTGCTCACCCCATCCCACACTTTGTCTACCCTGCTAGGACACCCTCATTGACTCTGTTACCCCTTCAGCTCTTTCGGTGAGATGCAAGGGCTCGCCAGCATGCACACTGTTGACAGGAGAGCACCACATGGCTGCGGCACCAGCAGAAGAGGAGAGGCCTACTTAAAAACATGTCTTTCACACTCTTGTGAAAGAATGAGAGCCAACTGGAGGCCTGAATTTCCTCAGTTGCCCACCTCTTGAATTTCCTCAATAGTCCTCAACGGCTTGAATATCCTCAAGGGTCTTCATCTTTGCTCTCACTCATTTGTGCATCAAACTATAGTTTCCTCAAGCACCTCCGCAGCATTTTAACACATACTGAAATGTCCAGCTTTACCAACAAAGACATTAAGTGTTTCTGCATGTCTTTCTCAGCCATCCGCATTTGGGTTCCTTTCCAAGGTTGCACCTCCGAATTTTGTATGTGGGACTTTCATCTTGGCAGCTGCTGAATTTCTGTCACCATAGAAGTGGAGATGATGACAATGTTCACTGGTCCTTCTGTCAGATCATGGGGCTACCTTAGTGGTCTGTCCCATATGGACCTGAATCTACTCCCCACTGAAGTACTGAAAGGGTATCAACTGGGTCAGGGGCTGCAGTGTGATGTTCAGCCCAACAGCCGCCCATCCTGTTCTTCATGGCACAGAAATAACTCAGGAATGCTCCAGCAAATGAAGATCCCTTACAGATGGGAACCTGCTGGGGAGACCTGAGGAGCCAAACTATTTAGAGATGTTCAGCAACATCCAAGCATTCAAGTTTCTCCTGACAGTCAGAGGAGCGACAAGGTGGCTGTCAGAATATTTTCTTGAACAGGAGCACAACCCCAAGCTGATTTGCACCACTAAAACATGCTTTAAGAAACCCAAACCTGTCCTCTGCTTCCACGGAAGGTGGCAGTGAGTGTTTAAAAGCCTTCAAAGCAACAGGAGACAGAGCAAAGGAGGCATTTTTCAGCAGGCAGAAAGATGCAGGTGATGTCATTTAATGCTGTGCAGCTCTGATGAGAGCTGGGTTTCTGGCAAGTAAAGGTTCCTGGGTCCTGTGGGAGGTCCTCTGGCATCCTTTCCTCTCAGCTGGGCCCTTTTGCAAAGGGTCACTTGACATTCCTGAGGATGCCCTCACTGTTGTTGGGGTTACAGTCCCCCATGCTTGACAAACATGGCAGTTGCAACCTCAGGGGAACTTGCAGAGGTCCCCGCAGCCTCTTGAAGGGGACTCCTCATTGGATGGACAGAAGCAGGCTCTGGATCAGCCCTGCTGCCATCTCTCACAGGCTCCTCCGCAAAGCCTTCCTGTGGCGGTCACCCCCAGGGTGAAGCAGCTCTGAGGGTTTCAGCCGGCAGATGCTCAGAAGCCGTTTCCACTGCCATGGTAGAAGGCCTCACAAGTGTCCCAGGCTCACTGCCCTTCCCTTGTCCCGCCGTGCGTTGGCGAACAGCAGGAAGAAGTGGCAACAGCTGCCAGACCTGATCCAGAAACTTCTGGTGAGGATGGGCTGAAGGTGCTTGTAGGTAATGGAGATGGGGCAGAGACTGGAAGTCATTCCCCCACTTACCCTGACCCTGATTTGAGCTGCAGGCCAGTTATCAACCCACAGAAACCAGTGGGCACATCCAGAAGCAAGTGAGACCCTTGGATGCAGATGCCAGCTGTGTTGGGCTCTCCACCCTACCTCAGCATCCCCAAGCACCCTCCTCATACTGTTCAGTGCTCAGCGTGACTCCAGCCTCCTCCCAGTGAATATCCCAGTCCAACGTCCACTTTATCACAATGACTCCATCTATAAGACTCACAAGTGACTGCCACCAGTACCAAGATGAGACGCACCATCCTTCAGACACTTGTGTGGCCCTTTGTGTCATCAGAAACACCATTTACTTACCTCCCCTTCAACCTCCCCCCAAGAACTACACTTAAGCTGAAACATCTCTGATCTGCCCGTGCTAGGTTAAGCAATTACGGTTTAATCAGGGCTGGCTCAGGAGCTCTCCCCCTTTCCCAGTGCTGTCAACTGGGCATGTTTCATGAGCACTGAGTTCACTTGGAGAGGGAAAAGGAGCATTAAGGAGAATTGTATCTAGAAAAGCTACCGACAGGGTAAAGTCCAACGAGCACTTTATTCTGCAAGCTGACCCCCACAGCATGGGTGAATCTGGTGAAGGGGCACCTTTAAACATATTTAATAAAGTCATATGCCTGCAGCTTTAATATATATATATATATATATACACACACACATATATATATATGTGTATACACACACGTACACACCAAAGAAGCACTTGGATTTACTTACATCATTGGGAATGGTGAGTTCATGAGTACTGGCCGGGGGACTGGCATCCAAACCTGGGCATATGCAAGGGAAAATGGTTATAGCTTGCAGAGGCAGCGCGGCGGAGCTCCACTGCTTTCCCACAACAGTCAACACTGCAAAGGCTGCGTCCTGCTCCGGGGCGGGAGGGGAAGGGGATCACACACTCTGGTACAAGGAGGAGGAAGAGAGTTTGCTACCTGACTCTGCTGGAGCTGGGTGCTACCTTCCCCTGCATCCCTCGAGCCCCATCTCGCAGGTGCTGCCCTGTGGGTGCCTCGCTTCCCACCCTCCATACTTCCAATGGGAACGGCTTCAGAGGAGGCTGTGTTATAGTGCAAGGCTGCAGCATCGCCAGAGAGAGATGAGAAAAGCATCTTCCCATGAAAGCCCTCCTCCACTCAGCAGCAGCCGCCAGCCTGCTGCTTGGGAAATCCAGCCTTAGAATCAGACACCCTCCAGCCCTCTCTGGGCACAGCAGCGCAGAGCCTCTTGCTTACCACAGCATCTTGGAGCCCCAAAACTGGTTTCCCCAAGGGGAACTGGCGATGCTAGCACAGGGCAGCCTGCAAAGCACTTTGCAAGTTAAAGCTCCATGCTGAACTTAAGCCAGGCTGCTAAGATGTGCACACTAGCCAGACCCAGGACCTATGGTCCCTCTTACGCCCAAGGGACAGCAAGGCAAACAGCATGGAGTTTTAGAGCCTGCTTTCCTACAAGATTACATGGCAAGGAGTGAAGGCAGCAATATGCTTCCTCCCAGCCTCTCCTGGGCCAGGGAGGGAACTCTTCCTCCACGGTGGGAAAGGCTGGAGCCAGCAAGCTACCCTGCCTGTGCAGGTCCAGATGTAAGAGGACAGGCTGCTGTAACATTCCTAGGCCAGGTTGAAGCCTGCCTCTCCCACAGGCATCCATATTCAGTCACCTCAGTGCTGAAGCAGGGATGTCCTCTGTCAAATCTGTAAGGGAGAAGCTGTCTGGTGGCTAACAGGAATTTGCAGGAACTGCAAAAAAACCACCCTTATCCATATGATATAAACTACTGATGAAGGCTTTTAAGAGCAGTGCGTGCGAGAGGATGAGAGACTGCAAGGTCTCTATCCGAGGAAAGAAATGCGGAGCACAAGGTGACTGGAAGTGCTGGGCTGCTACAACACCGAATTCCTCATGCCATGCGGTGACATGCTGCTGCCTTAACTGTGTTGAGCAGCCACTGCAAGCAATGGCCGAGTTTTGCTGGTCTGCATTTCCATCGAGGCCCTCTGCACTGCAGGAGAGGAGCTCCCATCCAGTTTTGCCAGCAACAGCCACCAACGTTTTAAAACCCAGCAGGTCTGAACGGATGTTCATCTGGGTACCAGCACTGTCAAAGCAAGATTTCTAAAATACTAAAATGAAGCCTTAGGTTGCAATCTCATTTCAGCATCACCCCTAGAAAGGAGAATATCAGGTATACTCGATTTGCTCTTACATCATTCCTCTGCTTTCCCATGTATGTGCACCTCCCTTACAGAGACACAACACCTGGGTACACCACCCAGGCACCCACTTGCAAGAGGTCTCTGTATGTTTTTTTCACTCAGGAGCACACAGAAAGGCAGGGAATAGGGATGTGAATCCCCCACTCAGCAGCTCTGTGCCCTCCTTCACCCTTGCCAGGTGTACTAATGCCAAAGCCTGCATAAAACAGCTCCTGCCCAGGTTTTACACAGTAGATAATGCTTAAAGCTGACTTTACAGCACACTGCACTGGAAGAGACATTCCATCAGCCCTGGACCATCTTTCACACCAAGCCTCCTCATAGTCTAGGGACAGGTGGACTGCACCTTACACAAAGACATGTCCCCCAGGGTGTGGGTGTCCTCATCTTTTGGCCATGCAATACAAGGCTCAGCTCAGTAGCAGCCTAAGTATGGCAGAAAATGTCTCCTGAAGAGAGGAAGGCGCTGAGGATGGGCTCAGAGCAGTTCTGAGGCATCCAGAGGTCTTTGGAAATGCAAGCTAGGGTCCTCAGATTCATAGCTAGGGCCTGCCACCCTGGGGTCAGATGCCACAGGTGGTGCTGGAAGGCCTTGGGGCAGGCAGTGCCATGGTACTGCATCACCCCTGCATCGAAACAGCCATCAAGGAATGCCCACATCCTTTGCCATTACCTGGAGATCATTTATTTTAGCATACCAAATCCTCTGTCTCTGATATGCACATGCAGTCCCCATGGCTGTAACGGGGGTGGGGGGGGGGGGGGTGGGGGGGGGGTCAGGGCAAGATTAGTGCCTTGGGTGACTGCAAACAGCAAAGTGGGGCACACAGAAAACAAGGCTGTGCAGGTTGGTAGCACAAACCTGATATTTGCTATAGTCTTGTGGAGTCTATTTGCTTGGGCTACATTTGCTTTTGTAGTTAGGCGATGTCTCCAGACCTTTTTGAGGCATGCACTGATGTACCCCGGCTGGCTGCAGAGCACATGCCCCAGGTACGTCCAGAGGAGGTCTGGCTTACATGGGCTGTGAGTCTCCAGGTCTCAGGATAATTCCTCTAAGCAATGGTACGTTATAAAAGCCAAGCATGCTCCGCACATAGGACTGAATGTGCGGCACATCTGACATCAAAATTTCTCCAAGAAACAGAGACATTTTTCCATGCTTTGGCTCCTCGGGGTCCTGTCCCACTAAAAATGCAGCTCGGCCTGAATGGCTTAGAGACGGCTAAAATTGCATGTCATTTCTGTTCCCACAGGCATTTTTCTACTGTTTCTGAGCAAAGTTCATGAAAAAATAAAGAATAAGGGCGATGACTCTCATGTATTTCTGTTGCACAGATGGCAGTTATACGCAAACATAAAAAAACCAGGCAATAAACTCCAGGCACTTTCCTTTGACATGCTGTACAAAGGAGAATGGCAGGCACGGTGCTGCTCCGTCTCTCCTTGCCCACCAAGAAAACCTGTCATCTTCTTCACAGATACCACAATTAATCACGAAGCACAACAATGACACAGTCCTATTTAAGATATATATTGCAACAGAAGCCTGCTTATTCCCCTGTAGCTTTGTGTTTTACCTGATGATTGGCCCATCAGATTTTGAGCTTCTTCGGAGGAATGTAAGGGCAGCTTTTCTCCTGAAGAGCAAAGAAGAAACAGGTTTAATGCTTTTGCCTTCAAGGAGATAAGCAATGTCACTTCATCTAGGAAGCTCAAAATATGATGAACATTCGGCATTTCCAACCAGCACTTTGACCACCGAGTAAACCAAATCTCCATCCCCTGCACTCTATCTGTTTCCCAGGTCATCATGAAATGTGTTAAATGCCACGCCAGCCTTGGGGACAGGGCTGCTAAGCCATGCCACATCTGGTGGTCCTCCTGGCAACACAGCTCCCTATGGCCACGGCTCCTTCCCATTGCTCTCCCCAGCACAGGGGCGCCATCCTGCCCGTCTCAGCACTGCTCCCCACAGACACCAGGGCAGCACCCCCAGCCAGCGCCAA